GCCGCCTTGCAGGCGATGGCGAGATGGGGAACATGAATGTATCTGTATGTACCTACATATGCTCGCTCATAACTTAGCGTAATGGTGATCTATCATATAGCTAGCCAAGCAACCCTGCTGTATCCTCTTTATTTACAGTATGTGTATGTGACAACAATAGTACTATATACATCGCTATATTTGCTCTCATCCTCCTGATAAGTACAATTGCAAGAATTGCCTTTATAACAAGATGTAATTTCGGCGGCATGCGAGTGATGATATTTAAAAATATATATATATATATATGTAATTTGAACATGTAACCCTTCTGGCGTATGGACTTGCAGTGACGGGAAGCGCAAGAGCGTTGACGGGAATGTGAAATTCGATCTTGAGGTCTAATACTTGAGCTGGCATTTGGATGAGGCCGTGCATTACTGCCGGTGCTCTCTGGATGGATGCCTTGCTCAAAGTGGATGCTTGGCGCTTGCAGGGGTACTACTACTACCTTTTTTGGAAATACCTGTACTACCACCGAAATTTTCATTGCTTGGCATGCAATGCAGATCCCTGTCGCTTCTAGAATGAAAATTTGGTGGAGAATTCTAGATACCTCTGTCTAGAAAGGTAATAATCCAGAATTCGCTTAGAGTAAGAAGAAATGGCTGTCGGTGCACCGGAACAGATAAAGTACAGTCTTCTAAGTAGCATGTGTTATGATGGTCTGCAAGTGGGTGTGGAAATGGGTGGGGAAGGTAAGTACCTCAGTTCCTTCGCGAGCATGTGTGAAAGCGTCTGGAATTGTGTGTGTTATGGGGAAAAAAATAAAATCCACCGTCGCGGTCGCGACGGAGCAACCAGCTACATAATATTAGAGTACTATGCTGTCAAGCAAGAAGCGGTCGGTTAGTTGCCTTGATATTAAAATGAAGCCCTTTATTCACGCCCTCATGGGATGATGTAAACACTTCTTAGAGGCCAGCCGATAGAATTAGGGAGTTCGGAGGCGGCTTTTTTTTTTTTTTAGGTAGCTATTTCATCGCTCTTGCCATAGCCCGGTTCAAAAGGGAAAAAAAAAAAAATAGCTGCACGTGGATATTGGGGCTGGTTGTAGAACATACCAGACTTGACGGCAAAAGTAACATAAAGTAACATGAATACCCAGCTTTCAACCCTTTCTATAAAAGGAGTGCTACACACCCTCTTGAAGAAGTTTGGATAACTGGTATCTGCTGATAAGCGCATTCAGGATGGTCAACGATCAGCAGACAACACCAGGAGGGCAATGAATCAGGCCAACAGAAGGCCTGGACTGGCCTGGACCGCCTTCCTCCCGAGCTCCTCCTTTTGATAGTCGAATATGTTAGCATTAGTAGCGATTACAATGATCACCTCATTCAAGGGTTTCACGACGCCTGGCCTGGATCTCGTTAACACCAAATATCAGAGCGGTTCTTGTACAGGTGCCTCGCTTATGATTAGGCCATGGGTAGCCTCCCGCCCATCCTCTGGCGATTCATCAGGAGACCGTCTCTCACTAGTTTTGTGGAGGAACTTCAGCTGACACAACCCCCCGTACTCCCGATACGAATGCAGCCAGAACAATCTGTCTCAAGAATCGAAGCAGAAGAAGCGGCAGAATTACGCCGTATTGCGAAAGAATTTGTACCGAAGTGCAATGAGGATCGTATTTTGAACCGCAGCTGGTTGCCCACTAGTACGAAGATGAAACTTCTTGTTCGTGTTCTCCCACGGCTGAGATATCTTGAAATAACCCCAGCCGGTGGATTGCCTTTTGGAGTACCTAGAAGTTTCCATACTATCGAGGATCAAGTTACGGTGAAACCTGACCATCATTCTGTCTCACAGACGTCACCTTTGTACCATTTGCAAGAGTTTACTGTTATACGACCTGTGGATTTGATATTCCATACATTATCACCCTTCTTCTTCCCCAAAATGCGTTGCGTCACTATAACTACGTCTGAATTCCCATAAGCGAGTTGGCCATTCTTGCTCGCGACTTTAAGACCATCGACAGCTAGTATCGAAAATCGTCAGTGACTTTGCTAAGATTTGCCGACAGTATACTTTCATGGGAGGTGTTGGTAAAGATACTTCTGTTTCCAAGAAATCTCCGTCACCTTCAGTATGACCACGACAGCAATGACGAATGGCAACCAGACGGAAATATGGGCACAGCTTTCTCAGCTCAGGGAATGGGTCTCGCCCTTCAGGCCGTACGGCATAGCCTTGAATCACTTACTATCACTGGTGTCGAAGAGGATTGCATGCGATCACAAGGCTCATTCAACTTGCGCCGCTGGAGACCGATGCAGAGGGATTTGCCACGGAATGGAGAAGAAATGTCGCTAGCCTCGGGTCACTGAAACAGTTCCACAACCTCACGCACGTGGAATTTCCATTTTGGGCTGTTGAATGGGTGCCCACGAAGGGGGTCTGGAATGGAAAGTTCAAGATGTCAAGCTTGGTGGATGTGCTTCCACCAAGACTGGAGGAATTGGAAATGGAGGTCGCTGGCCCGGTGAGGACGCACAACAACGGGAAGGGTCAGAAATTAACGGAAAGTACAGCAGCTGAGTACTTCCATGAAGCCCTCACGGATATCGCTCGGCTGCTTCATTCGAATTGCCAGCGGCCGAAGATGTTTCCAAAACTCAGGAAGCTGTTCTTGATCAGTGAACCTGATTCTCTGTGCAAGGCCTTGGCTGAGGAGATCGTGAAACCGTATGTGGAAGGAAGTGGTGTTAGTCTAGTCGTTGAAATTCGATCTTCATGGCGGCCGTGCTTCATTTTTGATATTTGAAATGAGGTTTCTCAACCTTAGTTAGCTACTCTATAGGTTAACCATTTAAAGGCGCGACCAAGAAGATACAAATTAGCATTTATAGCCGTTTTTTTTTTTTTTTCCTGATCACGTGACCCTGCATACAGGCTCCCAGCCTATGGCACGACCCCTTTATTACCCGGAGGCAGGTCTGTGACACTGTGACGCTGGATTGTGGACATGATCACCCATGCTACCTAATCTCTATCTACACGATATCACCGTGGTGCAGGAACAAATGCAGACAGTGGATCAAGTGCAACAATACACACAATGGGTTCTTAATCGCACCGGCGAACCTGGTAATACTGACGGACTCGCAAGCGGCAATAGCGGCAGTGAGGAAGGCAGGAACCCAGGGGAGGGCACGAACGGAGGACCTGAGAAGGGTGGTTAATACCAGTGCGGAGAGAAAGAAAACGGGGGAGGACGTCAAGCTGATGTGGATGAAAGCCCACATTGGCATCGCAGGCAATGAGGCGGCGGACGTCGAAGCTAAGAAGGCAGCGGAAAGGATAGAAAAGACGGTGGTCACGGAAGGGGGGCTGCGGCAAAAGTGGAAAAGACTGCGCGCGGCGGAGAGAAGGGAGCCAGGCTTCGGAGGGGCACTGTCATGAGGTGGAGCAGGGGAGCAGCTACCACCTTCACGAGACTGAGAACGGGGAAGGGGATGGGAAAGGAGTGGGAGACGAAAATAGGGAAAGCGGCGGAGGGGAGCAAATATATAAATGCAAACAGGAAAAAAAAAAAACGATTAAACGTAGGTGCGGGCAGAAACAAACGGCGGACCACCTGGCGTTCAGGTGTTGTGGTGACGGCGACAGAATGGGTAAAAGGTAAAGCTTGGCATGGAAGGCACGTGGAGATAAGGGCAGCACGTGAGGCGATATCATATATATAGACTTTCTGTACTGTAGCACATACAATCAACAACCTTCTCTTCCCTTCTTTTTCGCTCTCACGCTTTCGCACTCGCACTCGCATTTGGTCGTACGTTCGTTCCTCCAGTTCTCACCGCTCCGGTCCATCGCAAAGCAGAAGTTGATACTATCTGTCTATCAGCTGCATGCGGGGTCATGTGACAAAAAAAACAAAAAAAAAACAGTGTGAAGAGGTGACATATCCGGAAGGCTGGGGGGAGTGGCTGGATATAGACAGAAGGAAGTGGATGGAACGGCAGGAGAACGGGGAAGAAGTCGACGTGCTGGGGGAATTTTTTAGGGCACTGAGAGCATGAAGGGAAGGGGAGGGGGGGGTATTTCATTTGTTCGAAGGTGGCGGCGGAGGCTTGATGTAGCTATTTTTAGTGCCACGGGGAGGTGTGGCGTGAGAGTTTCGTATGTAGAGTATGATAGGTGGTGTAAGGGTAGTTAGATAAGCCTGTTGAGGGTGCAGACCCAGGGGCCCTGCCATGGCGAACAGCTGCAAGCGGGGTCACGTGATTAAAAAAAAAAAAAGAATGCAGAGAAGTTCCAGATTTGGAATAAGACATACAGTAAGTGGTGCTAATTCGTTGTAATTCAGACGAAACCATGATATATCGTCCATCATCGTAGCAAGAGAAGATAGAAAAGTAGAACTTGCTCATTCATTGCAGGCATGCTAGCAGGTTGAGCTCAATATCGAGATTGCAGGTCTGTGCTCTGCCCTACACTATAGGTGGGAATACAAGATTCCTTGCCTCCTTGACCATAAATTATCTCCAGCACTTGTCATATGAATCGTCAATGGTTAGGTAATTTCATAAGCAGGTAAAATTTCGTGAACGGCTAGATGAGGTGGAATGTTTCGAAATTAATTAGAGCGTAATGGCAGAAGGAACTGTCAGAAGAAACATGAACACTATCTGAGGAAGAATGCAGAGTCTGAGGAGGTATTTGGATAACTCAAAGGCGGAAGGATCGCCTGCAGACTAGACTACAGGTATGACGGAAAGCAATATAAGAGCTGCTGAACAAGAGTAAGTGGCGAAGAGAAGAAGAGAGCGTGAAAGAGGATGACACGGGAACCGCTGCGTGTGTAACAAAGGAATGAGAAAAGTACTCTCAAGGTTGGGGTACTGTTATTGATCCTTTCACTTGTGATAAGAACAATTTCCAGTCTGGTTGACGGACTCCCTTTTGTTTATGAGCCTATGAAAAATTACATACGCTGTGTAGTATCTAGCTCAGGTCCTATGGCGCAATTGGTTAGCGCGTCCGGCTGTTAACCTCACAATGTTCTTGTGGGTTGGTGGTACCGGGAGGTCGAAAGTTCGAGCCTTTCTAGGACCGAAGAATCTATCTTTTGTGCTGCACGAATCATTGTTACGGTGATTCATTTTTTGTCGACGCTGAGGCAGCGACTTGTAGCGGAGTAGTTGGTTGAACTAGTTTTTTTGTCTACCATATGAGGATCCTACTTACGTACGTGGAGCTGCTTGTTAGTTTGTCAGACGGTAAGTTATGGGACAATACAAGCTTGTCGTTATTTAGTAGAACTGTCTCGCTGTGATTACCAGTCTCCCGTTCGACTCAGTGGACGTTGAATTTGAATACCCTGCCGTAGCTGAGCTGGGCGGCATGCGAGTGCTGAAGCAAAAAAAAAAAAGAAACTTAAATAATTAAGGCGGACTTTATATTTAAGACAACCCCGAACCAAGCGCCTGCCCGAGGCCATCACGCGGTCATATTGGCCATGATAATCCGAGTCCCTATGCCCGTGCATGTGCACTCCAGTACATATAAGTATGGCACAGGCATCCATGTAGTTGGGACTTATCCCATTAGAGTATAGTGTTATTGTATCTCCCTAACCCAGGAAGGGGATCGATAACAACAATAGACAAAATATTACTAGTAGTCAGATATTATAACGCATGTCTAGCAATAGCACCACGGACACCAGCAACCCTCAGCTGGAGCTCTCCCCAGCCACTCTCCTTCGTGGCGAACTCTTGCACTGCCTCTGCGAGCATTTCGCACCACAGACTGCCGATATCATCATGAGCTCACCGTTTAATCTCGCCCATCTGCTAGATATTTTAGACAGGAACGTAGATATCCTGCTGCATGCGGGTTTGAGGGATTTAACTACGGCAGTGAATCTAGGAAGATTAGACGATGCGAGAATCCAGGATTGGGCAGTGGGGGTGGAAGTTGCTTTGCTAAGCGGAGGGAGGAATGATGGGAGGGAGGAGCTGGATGTAGATTATTAGAAGGTGCAAGGAGAGAGAATGAGGAGCTGTGTATTTTTACACATTTGATTCGGTTCTTTATTCTGCAATTTTACGGGCACATGTAGAATTTCGCTTATATATTACATGGATTGGTAGAACGCGGTCCTAGTCGTGAATCCTATTGTTCGACGGCATCAATTTCTCTGAAGTCAGGTGCAAACGCGCTTTCCAAAAACACGGTCGATATGCTGCTCTTCTTTTTACACCCTCTCGTAGAATCCATAAGACTCTGCGGCCTACAAAGGCTCGGAATTTGCACCCAAACGGGGTTAAGAAAAAGGAGGTTTTGGTGACAAACAATATCACGTTCTCGGAGGTTCCTTGTTGTGCGGATCAATCTTACTAGTATATTCATAATTTATAAACATAGCCAACGAGTATCGCATGTCGGTTCTCCGGCCTGGCCAGGACTTATCGCTATCGTCATTCACTGTAATTACGTTACTGCTGCATTTGTGCATTCCGGTCGTTACGTAGGTCTTGTTCGTCAATGGTCAAACAAGGCTGCTGGCAGAACCTGCGCAAGTGCAAACAATGCAGTTTATGATGACACTCTTGCAATGTGATGTAGGAGTATTCTGCTTTGCTAGTCAACACTATTGATGGCGGGACAGAGAACTGCACAGCAAGGCAAGATGATTGGACGAAGCTATATATTAGTAACCACATTTCAGCAACAAGTAAAGTGTACTGTTCCGTTCGATACACATGAAACCAATCTCTTATCAAATGGAATTAGAAAAATTACAGTCCAGCTTTTTCAAAGATGCTTTTTTCATTTTACTTTTTTTATTTTACGTAACCCCGCTTACTGCTCTACGCCATGACAGGGCCTCTCAAAACACAGCCATTTTCCCCAGTGCGAAATGGAATTCCAACCGAGACTCTCTATTCTGTACCCCTCCATGGCCTCTTTTGTAACCGTTATCACTGGAGACAAAAGACACACCACTGGACCAGCTTTAGGTAAGTTCGAACAGTGTACGGACTTCCCTCTTCCTCTCCCTCTTACGTCCTGTCCAACCACACACTCTCTCTATAGACCACCTCTTGGGGTCCAGATAGTGCCCGGAAAGCTGCCAAAGGTATTGCATAATCTACGTCTAGTCTACGCGGCGAGCAACTCAGCCTTATCTTGATCTTTTTTTTTTTTTTTTTTGATATCATTACTCGTTTGCTACCTTGGGGGCTATGACGAGATAATACATCGGAGATAAGAAGAGTGGAATGAAAAGAAATAGCGTAACACAGAATGATAATCACCTTATCTTGATCAATCACAGCTCAAAGGTTAAGGTAGTCTTCCAGGAGCTCCGCCAACAGCCTCTTCAGTCAGCTCCTCTGCACTCCATCCTACCGTCCCTCAGTCACGCCCTGCTCCACTCAGCGGTGCCCGTTGAGTTAGCTCTAACACTGATCTGTAGTAGTACACGATCTATAAGTTGTTGGTGATTTTAATCAGCTCTACTTACCTCTAAGGGGTTTTGATGGCATATGATCCATAGCTTAGTCTACGTAAGTGAAGCATGATCCATAGTTCGGTCTTACGACCGCAGGATACATCTTGGGCTGATGCAAGCCCTAGCATGGCGAACAGCTGCAAGCGGGGTTACGTGGAATTAAAAAAAAAAGAATAAATAAATAAAAAGGGCTGATGCAAGATGCAAGCTGATGCAAGACATGGGCTGAATTGTCGTCATGTTCGGCTGTCGTCATGCTGTCGCTGTACTCTACTTTTTTTTTTTAATATCATTGCTCGGGTGCCGCCCTACGGGCTATGGCGAGAATGTTGTCGCTGTACAGCCGCATGCATGTCTCGGCTCAGCTACTGTACTATGGCAAACATATGCTCATGGCAACGTTATAGGTAGCAATACATCTGGTGACCATGTCCTAGTTTCCTTTTCTTTATTCGGTATAGAACAATCAATCGCTGTAGTATCAGAACCAAAAAAAAGAAAACTGAAATTTTTTTTCTTTCTACGCTTATTATTCACCACAGTACAGAATCAGACGGTGCAGCCAGCAGTGATTCCGATCAATAGACTATACTCCAGTGATTGTCGATTTATCAGCAGGAGAAGGCCTTGGAAACCGCCTAACGATCCGTCCATAATTATTCAACGTAGCTTCCATAACTTGAGAATAGTAAGAGTGTATATTATTGTACCCGCCGCAGTTATCTCCTGAGGCTTTTATAACTTCGTAACGTAACTGCATACACCTACACACGCATTTTTTTTAGAGCCGGAGCATCTAAAAAAGGTCGATGTTGAATCTAAGTGTTTCCTCGGATTGTGTTGGGAACCATGACTAGCTAAGGCATATAGGCCGTGCCCTGGCAGTCCAAGAGATCGGTGACAATGTCCGGAGGGACATGCAATGACCGGTCGGACATGATCGCTGATCCTGTCGGAGTTGACTTACACGGGCTTTTTTTTTTTTTTTTTTTTTTTTTTTTTTTAATATCAATACTCGCATGCCGCCCTATGGGCTATGCAAAAGAAACTAAAAACAGCCGATAAGTACATGTAGTGCCCGCGGTGCTCGTACATGATGCGGGTGAAATGTCAATACGGGATGGGGTGTCCTTCACTTCCGTCCTCTATCCCATTCGTATTGTCCTGCTCGAAGCCATCTTCCTCCCAGTCTCACCCTGTCTACTTTCGATGCCTCCTCCAAGTACACCACCACCGAGCTTGTCTTTTTTCCCTCCTCAATCAAAGTTATCTTCTTCCTCAGCCATTGAATCTCCTTGATCTTTCCTAGATCCTGGTTGGCTGCCTCCATCCATCGTCGGATGTTCCCGAGGTCTTTCCTCAGGGCTATCCCGTGGACTACGATGCCGGTCTTTGGGGTGTTGGCATCGGGAGTGGTTGGAGGTGGGGATTTGGCTTTGGGGATGTGGGGGGGTTTTGTCTTAGGCGTGGGCTCTGGGGTGGGAGTCGGCTTGGGTGTAGGGGGTCGGTGGTTTCTGTCTTGAGGTAGTTGCAGGCACGCTGCCTGCGTTAGTCTGTGGGGTGTTCACCGGGGGTGCGGAGGCTATTTTCTCTGCCCCTTGTCGCTCAACTGGCGCTTGAGGGCATATGTGTCTTGGCTGGATGGCATTTTGCCCTTGCGCTTCTTGTTCCTGTTCCCGGTTGGCATCGGAGTCACGGCGGGGATCGCTGCGGGGGGGGGGACGGCTCCTCCGCGAGCGCAGTGTGGATCGGGCTGAAGCCTAGGCTTCGGATGTGGGCTCCGCCGGCTCCGTGTGTACGCACGTGATGGGGCTGAGCCCCAGTGTCTGTGGTGGTGGTGGTGGCGGTGCCGGACCCCCGTATTTACAGTCAGGGTCGTCTAGGTCGTCCGCGAAAGTGAAACAGATGAATGACCCTTTCTTTGGGTCGTCCTCTTCGGCCATGCATGCTTTCCAGTATGAGGCGACATGCCTACGTTTGTCTCCTCGTCTAGGTGATACCAGTTTGGTATTCGGGGCGCTTGGGGGGCTCCCCCCGAGGGGGGCCGGTCATTGATTGGTGGAGAGGCGTCTTCCTATTGGGTCTTGGCGCAGGGTCGATGTGCTGGCAACTGCGGTGGTGAGCTGAAAATCTCCTAGTTTCACCCCGGGGGGAAACTTGTGGGTTGTGGTTTTGGAGGATAAAAATTAGATCAAAAGACTCCGTGAACTGAGAGCTTTCGATTTATGTAGGTTTCGCTGGGGGGACTTACACGGTCGGATGTTCGTGGGGGCCATGATTTGAGCCTGAGCATACGAGGTGAGGCTCCATACTTGGCAGGCCGAACACTTAGCTATTGTGGTTCATGGTTTTGTATGCAACTTCGTGTTATGTATTTTTCTATATATGTTTGGCACTGGAAGCCTCGTCACGTATTTAGTGAGATTATCAAGGAATTCAGTCGTGTCGCATCCTGCGTTATCCCTCTATCTTCTACAGATTGTAAGATTCTTGAATGTGGTTTCCATGCGTGAGTCTGTGATTTCTTCCTTCTTTTCTTAGTTTTCAGGCTGCGTGAAACAATCCCTCCTACAAATCCAAAAAATATAAAGAATCC